TTCCTAAGATTATCCGCGAAAACAAGCATGTAATCAACTTCCCTAAGACCAACAACAAGTGCGTCTTCCACTGTATCGCCTGGCATACATTCCAGAGCCCTAAGAAGGATCCTCGCAGAATTCAGGCTCAGGTGAAGGAGGCATTCAAGCGCTACTGCTCTTTCAAGGGGGTGAAGTATACGTTGAGTCTATTTAGAAGCTCCAAGCCTATTGACCTACTACAGCTCGATGAGGTTGAGGACTGCTTCCAACTCGGTATTAACGTATATAGCATGGATGTAGCTTCCGGAAATGTAGAATGCATTCGTAGATCGGACAAGGGGTATGAAGCTATGGATATTTTATCGTTCGAGAATCATGCTTTTTACATCAAGAACATTGATATGCTTCAGGCTAAATATCAATGTCCTAAGTGTGAAATGGTTTTCGTCAGCGCTGAAAAGCTGAAAAATCACTAGAAGAACCAGTGTGAGCTTGTAAATATTGAGAGCTTCCCCACTGAGCCAACTATATACAAACCGGCTCAGAACACGATACGATCACTGCTTACGAAGTATTCCGTCAAGGATGCTGACCATTACATCGATCACTTCATAGTTTATGACTTTGAGGCCATTCTTAAGCCTACCGCGACTCAACACGGGGAAAGTACTGTCTTCACGAACAAACACATTCCTGTGTCTGTATCCATAGCTGATAGTATAACCGAGGAGGTGCGCTGCTTTGTGAATGACGATCCGAAGATGCTGCTGACGGATATGTTCAAATACATCGGTGATGTATCGCTGAAGATTCAGCAGTACAATGTCAATAAGTATAAGTCGCTTCTACAAAAAATCATCAATGCTCATGGTATGACAGGTATGGAAATTCCAGGAGAAAATATTGGCAAGACCTACAAGATGTCCGATGTGGAGAGTTGGATTGAAGTGGGGAAGTATGCCAGCTTCTTTGACTTTCACCGCAGTCTTGGTTTTGGTAAGCAAAGGTCTGATTATGGGAAACTGAAACAGCAGCCAAGTACCAGTATTCGGCTTCAATTCTGGTCGATACGATATTAACTTGATTAAGAAGGATTTGTTTGCCGTAATTGGTACCGACAACATTAAATCTGTCATCAAGAACCCCAGCTACATGTGCATTGCTACATCGGACATGAAAATGCTTGATATCACTAACTATGTACCAGCTGGTACCAGCTACGACAAGTATCTTACAACATATCTCGGTGGCTGCAAATGCGATGACAAAATTTGATGTGTCTGTGGTCTTGGTAATGGTCTTTTCCCTTACGAGTACATTACCGCGTTCAATGTTCTAAACCAGACTACTATCCCACCTAAGTCAGCTTTTGATAGCAAGCTCCGTGGAACGGGCATCACGAGCGATGACTACGAACGAGTGAAGTTCGTGTGGGATTACTACGAGATGAAATCGATCAAAGACCTACTGATCTGGTACAATAATCTCGACGTAGTCCCTTTCACCAAAGCTATCAAGGCTCAGCGAGAGCTATTTAAGCGCTTCGATCTGGATATGTTTGCGGATGGAGTGTCCCTACCTGGTCGCTCAGAGAAGGTCATGTATCAGACCTGCTTCAATAATCTCCAATATCCGGATAAGAAACCTGCTAACGCAATCCGATTTCCAGCTAAGCGCATGGCTGGCTACAAGAGTCACGATGCTACGGCAAAACGAAAATTTGGTATGACGCTTGAGCACGTGAATACATTGCTGCAAACGCAAAAGTATCTGTGTAGTCTATGCTTTTGTCAGCTGACTGCTGATACCGCTTCCGCTGATAGAATCAATAGCAATCTTGGGCACACTGATGGTAATATCTTGATCAGCTGCATTTCATGCAGCACCGCTCGAAAAGGTATGTCTCTCAGGGGGTTCAGATACAAGAAACTGCTTGATTTTAACGCAGACAGATTGGTGTTTTTGATTGACAAGGAGGAATCTGAGATTTACGGGAAAATGAAAGCTAACATCGCTGGTGGACCATCAATTATATTCAATAGGTATGCTAAGCGAAACGAGACGAAGATTCGTGGAGGTAAGATCTGCAAGAAAATTATCGGATACGACGCGTGTGCGGCAGTGTGATTAGGGTTGTGTGATTGGCGCTAGTCTACAACTCACACAAGTTCCTGCTGCTAAACCACTCTAATACTGTAGTTTGGACAACGCTTCGGCGGGACTATTTTACCGGTATATATACATGTACTAAAATTTGATTATAATCAATTGTTATGGTGTGCCTTCTTCATTTTCATTATTGTGCCTTTCCAAAGTTTTGGCCAATCTGACCTTAAAGGCTGGTCCTAAGCAAGGGTGGGTAGGGCTAAAGGTGGGATTTAATTGCTAAGCCAGGCCAAAATGATATTTGACCAATAACACTGTTCAATTTTGCCGACTATGATCCAAAAAAACTTATTGTGGAGGCCCTACGTAAGGGCTCCGATTTGCTCTAAAGGGTACCTTTAAACAAATTAAGGGCTGAATGGCCAGTATTTGCCGGCCATTTACCCTTACGTAAGTAGTAGTATCCAGAACATTACGCCGGCAGTTTTTTTACTTTCCGTAATTTACCTGCGAGACCAGTCCTGGAACGTTCTTTCGAGGCAGCTGCTATTTTGACGACGCAACCTCTCGACCAACCTGTGAGCGAAAGCAACGTCTTTTGGATCTTAGGGTAGTCTTAGAACCGCTCGACCACTGAGATCTAACGGACGTTGATTTGACGACGTCCACCTTATAGCGAGAGCCTAGGGCGCTTCGGGACCGTGCGACGGACAACATTCAAACTATATAGATAAAAGCAATACGCTGGCAGATTTTTACCTTAAGGATTAGTTGGGACAAGCGCGACGTGGCGTTTTATCATTGGCTGAATATCTATGTCACACGCCTTCTTTTCCGCTTAAGTACGCCAGAAATTCTCGCTTGAGGAATGATGGTGAAGCTTGTCTGTGCGATCGTTGGTGTGCTTTCCCTGTGGACATCGACGTGAGCCAGCTGGTGGGAGACTTGAAGGAGGTGATTAAGGCGAAGAAGCCGAATGACTTCAAAGATGTTGATGCAGACAAGCTGCATCTCTTCCTGGCAAAGAAAGACGGCGCCTGGCTGAAGTCGAAGGATCCTGCCGTGATTGCTATGCGGAGTGGTGTTATTCCCGAGAAAGTAAAGGCACTGCTGGACGTGGAAATGGATCCAGCAGACGAGATTGGTGACTTGTTTGGTGATGCTCCGACGAAGAGGACGATCCACGTGCTGGTGGTGGTTCCGGAGCAAGCACAAGGACAACCGGGATTGTGGCTCGTTACTGGGTCCGTCGATAACGCGTTGAACACGAAAGGGATTCGCTGCAGACTGTACCGGCTGGCAGGATTGTATCTTGGATACTACGACCCTGCGCGTCGCGCTGGGGACAAGGATAGCGCACTGTGGTACGAAGGCAAGACTCTGTGCATCCACAGTTTGTTCGAGACAAGTACGTGCTTCTCGTCATTTTAGTATTGCTTGCTTTGACTGACATTTTGTTTGATACTTCTACGTAGAAGAGAATGCTCTGCTGTTCGAAAACGCATTACAGGATGATTCGATCACATCAATGTCGCCACTTAATGGCCACACTGTTTCGACAAATGTTGCCCCTGTATCTCGGGAGTTAAGCGAGCTTCAGCGCATATTCAGAAGACACTATGTCCCAGAGGATACCGAATCTCCTCAAGCCACAATGATCTGTCTCTCGTCTAATACCTCCAAGACCTCGATCATTGACGTGGTGTCTGACGAATTCAAGTACCAGCGTATCAAGAGCGAGGTGTGGTTCGATTCGGTGGGGAAGGCACAGAGTTGCCGATTGATGTCCAGAGACCATTGTGTGAAATGTACAAGCTACAATAAGTATGCGAACGATCCAAGCAATCGTCTTGCTCTTTCTGCAGAAATGCACGAGTGGTTTGATGCTCGGTCGTTTGCTGTGCCGACGATAAAAATTTCTGTCGAGTCCACGTCTGAAAGATTCGTAATTGGCAACAGATACCAGGTACGAGTCTTTTGAGCACGAGCTGAACAATCCTTTTTGTTTAACATTATTTGCGATGCCATAGGTCAATTTGGTTGTGCGCGCGCTTAATGCTAACTTCGCAAAACTCGTCGCGCTGCGTTTGAAAGAAGGCTTTGTTTTGTCTGATGATGGCATGGAGATGCAAACATCCGTCTATGTACTGAACAAGAAGGTGTTTTGCGAGTGCATGGAGTGGAAACGCAAAGAGACAGAGAAGAAGTGGAGAGCTCACTATGACATGGCGCCTGCTGTAGACTGACAGCACCACTCGCCGTAGCGTATGCGCATTGAGTTTAAACTATTTCATTTAATACGTGCGTTACCCGGAAAATATCTTCTACTGAAGTAAATAAGGGCCTTCTTTCATTGATAATTCGATTTTTCGCAGCGTCTCTGGTATGTAGGTTTTTACACTTACTATTTGTATTGTACCGATCGCAAGAGCATCATACTGAAGTCAAGACTAACATGAGCGTCTAGAACCGGCAAATGCACAGGCTTAGGTCAATGAGCCCGACTTGCGGTTGAAGGCAATAGCGAGGAGACAGTCTCATCCGATTGAAAACAAATAATAAGTTTGAGGTTCCAGGTTTGTCAAAAAAATAAATTAGTTTTGATCCTGATAAATATAAAGTTAGTAATATACAAAAAATGGCGTACTCACCTCAGCAATACCTCGCTAACAAAGAGCGCATTACGGCTGCGCAGAAGCGCTACTATCAGCGCACACGAGTTACGACGATAAGAACAGAGAGCAGATCCGTGTTCGCAAGCGCAAGCCCAAAACCGAACTTATTGATGACAAAGCCGAACCTAACAACGAAACCGAACTTAATTAATTATTTTTTTTCTCAAATAAAAAGTAAATCCGAATATAGTCGCTTAAAACCTCCAAAAAGGTATACCGGTAACCCAAATATTTGAATTAATTAATTTCAGAATCTTTTGTAATGACTAAGATGTTTGTTCCCTGACAACCAGCGTTTGTGTCTTGGATCTGAATGGCCTGCGGAACATCACGTTCGGTTAGACGACTTACATCAGCAATTAGGACACGGTTAGTTAGCGACCAAGTCTGATAGTCAAGAAGTCCATTCACGAGCTCAGGGGTCAGATCACCATTAATCGAGCCAATTTTAGCGACCTCATTAGTGAACTGATGGAAGTCATAATCGTGGCTGATATCAAAGCACTGAGTCGAACCGATACGGACATTGAAGTTGCGAATGCTCGAACCAGGCTGAAGAGTCCAAGGAGCGCTATCAAATGGACTCTGAAATTGCTGAACAGCAGCAGTGGCAAAGTTTCCAGTTTGCTCGGCAAAGGGGAGAAGGATAACATACTTCGCATTCTTGACAGATGCGGATAGCTGTAGATCGAAAGAAGCATTAAGCTGAGTCGATTGCTTGCCAATACCTGCGCGCTGGTAAAACCACTGTGCATAACAGTCGTTATAGCGGACCTTTTTTACTGGCTTCGAGATGATAGCCTGAGGGTTCTCCAAATGAACAAACGGGACATACAGTCTAGAACTCGTGAAAGGCATGTACGTACCATCAATTGTAGGCTCAAGCGCATTGACGACCGCACCCCAAGAAACAGCAATGGATCCAGTACCACTAAGAACACTGTACATAGGGGCTGGAGAAGTCGCAGAAGCAACCAGTACTGAACAGGTATTACCACTTGATAGAGTAGTACTCGATAACGTCATTCTAGTAGAACTATCAATATCAATAGCAGCAGTACCCTGATTAACGCGGAAACGAAGACGGATTTGAGGGTTAGCCATAAGATCAAGCTCTTTGAAGATCGGATGTAAATCAACGAGTTTGATTTTGAGCATGTTATTCCATGTACCCATAATAGCACCAGCTGTGCCAGCACCTACTACGAACGCACCACGTCCAAGCTGATTAGCAATGGTAGTGGTAGCAGATGCGCCACCCGTAGACGGCCATGTATTAGATGAGTCAGCGCCAGCGTTTGGTGGATTTGAAAGAAGGCGTTTAGCAAAACCATCATTTGCTACTGAAGCCGGCGTTAAAGGTCGTTGAAATTGGCATATTATTCGAATACCCGTCTCCATTGGGAGAGGGATTGGAAGAACCACTGTACTTGGTTGATTGAGCAGCATCCGGATACAGGAAAGATTCAGCACCATGCTTCTCAACATACTGAGGACTATATCCAGTCTGAGCACGAATATTGTTCCAGAAAAGCTTATAGTCAGCCATAGAAACAATAGTCTTGCCATTTAGCTCCAAGGACATCGAATCGATGACGTTCCAGTTTCCACACTTCAGCGAAACGCAAAAACGGTTAGCTGCAGCCGTAGCAAGAGTAGCATGAGTGTTTTTCATCGATACCTTGTATGGTAGCATAATGTAGGCATCGCGAAGCGAAGCGAATCCTTCACTTCCATTAAGTAGCATCGATAGTAATAACACCGTTTTGGTATGAGCCCTGGTTAAGATCGATAACGAAAGGCACGTGCTTGCCAGAGGAGACTTTAATCTCCAGATCACTCTTGAGCGAGCTCTGGTAAAGATATTGGTCGGAAAGTTGTGTTTCAGACATCGTTTTGATTCTATATGGCATGTAATATATTTTATCAAAAATAATTATTATGGAACTCGTCAAACCTATTACATCCGATCATGATCTAATTGAACTTGCCAAGCGTATTGGGGTTCATCTCGATGCTATCTTTGAGTCAAATGAGATCACAAAGCCGCTTCCGAAGAAAGGATCATATCTGGTTCTACTTAGATCGCCTAATCTCGATGTAGGACACTGGCAGGCTGTCCATGATGGAGAATTCTTTGATTCAATGGGGGAAGCGGCACCTACGAAGTATGGCATCGGGCGATACAATCCCACACAATATCAAGGCACTTATGGCGATTATTGTGGTCCGTTTTGCATGCTATGGCTATATTGCAAACAAAAAATAAGATGAATCTATTGAATCGATTCAAAGATCTGAATTTGTCAATTCTGTATTAAATATGTTTCAGGAAATATAGCAATAATGTATCGCGAATTGACAATTTCCAGCGATGTTCCAGCTCCCAAGCTGACTAAAGCCCTCAAGACAGGTAAGCTAAGTCTTACAGCTGATCAACTCAAGGGTTCAGGCTCTGTTATCCATCTCCACCCAGCTTCGTATGAGAAAGCACTAAAGGCACGCAAGGCGGATCGTGGGGTTAGACTTGACATTACCAAGCATGAGATCAAGAAAGGCTACAAGAAGCTCCAAGGAGGATCCATTTGGAGTAAAATCAAATCAGGGTTATCGACAGCATTCAAATTCGTAAAAGATAGCGGTTTCCTGAGCAAGGGTCTGGATGCGGCAGTGCCTGCTATTGCTACAGCGTTTGAGCCCCTCAAGCAGGAATCCCCGCAAGGGCGGCTATTAAGTCATTGACAGGAGTTGGAGTATATGACTCTGACAGCGATACCCCGGTAGAGTCTCAAGACTCTGCCTACGTCCGAGCCTTGCTCGATGTAGAGAAAGAAGGTGGTCGTATTTCGGTAGCGGATGTTAAGAAGGCGGCGAAAAATGCTCCCGGGTATGCTAAACGTAAGGGGATTCTACCTGATGCAGTCGATGCAGGCGAGAAGTTTCTACTATCAAAAGCAACCAAGCCAGAGCATGAGAACCTGATCCAATCGGTTCGAGGCGAGGTAAAGAGACGCTATGGTGTAGGAGTCCCTAAGAAACCAGCTAAAGGTTCGCCCGAAATGAAGGCTAAGATGGCTGCACTCCGTGCTAAACGTAAGAAAGCAATGATTGCTGGCTCTTTTCGATTAAATTAGTTCCACCCTATTCTGCGGATTGGGAGAAAAACATCATTGAATGCTTATTTTTTTGGCCTCAGCAACAACATGATCGAGACAGAAGTATCACGGAACTTAACCTTTTGATCGTTTTGATTATAGATACTGATCGTAATAGACGTTCTCGCGCCGTTATGACAGTTCATCCAAGCATACTGGCTCGGCTTATAGCTGATTAGTTGTCCAACTTCAGCATCACCACGGTCAAACGCACTAAGGATATCACCAGAGGCAACATACTCGTTTTTGATTAGGTCGCATCGAACGATGTAGCTCGAGGTTGGGTGAATCTGAGGAATGATATTTGACAGCTTGAGCACTTGAAACCGTTGCAGACGCTGAAGGATACGTACCAGCAGTCAATCCTACTACTTTACCAAAAGAGGCGTTATCAATGATGATGCGAGGGACACGCGTTGTTGTTGACAAACCAGTACCACCTGACGAATAAAGACCACTTGCTGGTCGTGTCCAAGTGCCACCAGCTGTAGGAAGTGTCGTTGGAGTAGCGCTAAAATCGAATTGAGCAGCATAATACACACTGTTTTCCGTAAGTTGAATATAGAAAACGTTCTCACCAGATGGATTAATTAAATACGCTCCAGCATTTACGAGAGCCGTCTGAATGCTTCGATTAATATCGATATAGCTGTAAAGTCCATCAGGGAGGATAACAGATACAGTGGATGTGGTTCCAGCTGTCGGAACCTCGATTTTGAAGGAGTTATTCAGGAGCTGAGTTGCATCGATGTTGTATTCAGAGTTATACATCGAAATCGATTGAACCGCGCATACCACATCCTTAAAATCGGCAGCACTACCAGGAAAGCTGTATTTCCATGTGCTGTTATAATTGTCTTGAACGAGGTTAGTGGAATCGAGTTTAACAAAACTTGCCATGGTATATGTATATTGATTCACCCAAAAAAAATATTCTAAAGTTATTGCTCAATATCTATCGGTCGATCAAAGTTGTATCTGATTTGACCTTAGACTGAATCCACGAACAGCATCTGTCCTTTGCGCTCCGTGGCTTTATTGTAGCAATAGACGATTGATCGTTCATTAACGCCTTTGATGTTAAAATCCTTTACAACCATCTGTAAATCACGCTTCGAATTCGCTTTTAGAATCGCTACGTACTCTGAATTCAACCGAATCATCTTATCAGTGGCAAAGTAGCTGTGGCTTAGGAATATGGTTGAGAGTTTAAAGTGTCGCCCGCGTGTATAGTAATGAGAGAAGATATTCTTCTGAAGTAGTTTATCATTGCTATAGTCATCGATGATAACAAGCTCCGGTTTGTTAGAGCTTAATGGAGTATGACGCACCTGATCTACTTTAGGAGGGCTATCTGGGTCAGCAAATGTGATGAATCCTTCCAACTTTTCCCGGAGATACTCATAAAGCTCCTGATGGGGATTACGAGCAATGATAGTTAGATGAGCAAATACGTGAGGAGAATGCACATACAAGGATTGTTCTTTCCTGAAAAGCTTGGACCGAGCACAACCATTCTAAACAAAGCTTTCATATCCAATGCGGGGATATCACCCATCGAAGCAGACTTGAATTTTTTCGGAATCGAAGCCCCGAAGTCAGGAATAGCACTCATGACTAAAATCGTTTGATCTATATAGGATTAAACAAAATGAGTTCCGGTTTTTCATATCCACAGCCTACATTTCAATCATCCATTTATAATCCTTCATTCTATCTTTCGTTAGACTCGAGTGGTTATCTATCATACGATTATGCGCAGACACTATATTTGAGCAAGGATGATTACAGGATGGGCTACCTTAGCGGAGTAATAGCGGGAACTGCTTCGTACAGCAAAACTTTAATTCTCGATTCGTCCGGCAATATCAGCGGAATTAATAGCTTTGGAGCTTCTACTATTACTGGAACGCTACAAACCGGATCCCAACCAAATATAACGTCTCTCGGCTCTTTATCAGGTCTTACGATCGGTGGAAATTTATCGTTCAGTGGGTCATCGCGCTCGATATCGATAACAGGCACTTCAAGCTACATCGATTGTCGAGAATATCGCCAGAACGGGACTATATACGATTTGGGCCTTCTTGAATACATAAACGGAGTTAGTTTTGGTACCGCAACGCCAAATAAATTCCTATTATGCGACTCAAGCTCGAATATCGGAGGCCTAAGTTCGGTAACGGCTACTACTCTGACCTGCACGAACTTGCGCCAGGGCTCGACGTATTATGACCTATCAAGCTTTTACTAATCTATTCCGACTTCCCTCTCGCTCAATAATCTGTCAACGAGTGGGGATATCAGCTGCTCCGGCGTTATCAATGGGTTTTTAGCGTATGGAAACCAATCAGCTATAACAACAGTAGGATCGCTGACAGAGCTTGGGATCAACTCTACAGCAACGAATGAATATTTCTCGATCACTGGTAGTGGATTGGACTTTCTTGATGGTTCTTACACACGAATGATGACTCTAACCGGGTCGAATACGACTCCTGTTCAATTCCAGATCCAAGTCCACAATGGCAATCGATCAACCACAGCGAACGCGTCATGGATCGGGAACATCACAAACAACGACCTCAGATTTGGGGTCAATAACTCGACGTCGATGATTCTAACTACCACAGGTCGTCTTGGTCTTGGTACTACAAGTCCTTCAGCTCCGCTGCACGTCCCTGGCAGCAACAGTTTTGTATTTGGAGCAGGCGGAACGACAGTGTATCGCCTCAGAACAGATAGTGGAGCTACAGAATCCGCTCTTGGCCCGATCACATATTCAGTAGCGGGTATATTCGGAGGATACATTGCCTGTACAGCCATGGCGATGACGTCGGATCGACGCCTTAAAAAGAATATTCAATCATGCCCAATTGATCGTGTGAAGCGGCTCTACGATAGCTGTGAGGTCAAGCTCTATGACTGGATCGAGTCGGAAAACAAGCCTGGACAAGAAATCGGTCTCATAGCTCAGGATTTGGTCTCAGCCCATCTAACTGATTTGATATCGATCTTTTACAGAGATGATATTGAAGGGGGAGAAGACCCAAGCCTTGAACCAGCTAAGCAACAGCTCAACGTTGATTACAGTCGAATATCGGCTTATAATATGAAGATGATTCAGCATCTTTTGGGTGAGATAGATAAATTAAAAGATCGTTTGGCTAATATAGAGTCATGAGGATTGAGCGCTGGGAGTTAAGCCCTTTGAAGAGCAAGAAGTATCGAGTATGGGTACGTCTTGATACGGGAAAGTTGCGCAAGGTTGATTTCGGGGCTCGTGGATACGCCCAATATCGGGATCAAACGCCTCTGAAAGCTTTTAGTCATCTTGATCATAATGATGAGGAGAGACGTCATCGATACTACCTTAGACACAAAGTTGATTACTTAAAACCATCAGCGGATTTCTATGCTAAGAAGTTTCTTTGGTAATAATATTCAAGAAATGGGTTGCGTACCAAGCAAAGATCTTAAATCGAATTTAACTGCTGATGAACCTACTCAGGCAATTGCTTCTACATTCATGCGCGCTGATCAGATCGTAGCTCTCGGAGATAGTGCATTCGTTCCTATCAGAGATGCGAAGACGGGGGAAGATGCTATCATGGAAATACATGTTGGAGAGAAAAAAATTAGTATATATCGCGGAATGGCGAATAAAGCTGTTAGATCTGGTATTGCTTAGACAGCAAACGTCTTTACAGACTTCGTTTTTTTTTTAGTTGAGTATGCCCATACTTTCCCTTCTTCCGTCTGGGTTGACGCATCCGTTTTCTTGAGCGTCTTGTCAAGATCCGTTGCCCAAACAGCTGCCTGGGTCTTTTGAGGGCGGTCATGGATGATAAGATTTTTCATGATGGCTTTTAGCTCTGCGACGTTGAGATCAGCGTTGTCGCCATATCTACCACCTGAGCTGGAAATAATTCGGGGATTGAAAAAGAACATCTCTATATCAATTGGACGATAATATCCTTGAACTCAGAATCCGAAATTAAACGATTGGAGTACATATCCACACTAAGCGATTTCAGTTGCTTGATGATTGAAGCTACACCACTACAACGTGCCTTCATCTCCTTGGAAGGATTATCATTGCCTAATTCAAGCTCTCCTTTCAGCTTGTCATATTCAGCTCTTAGAGAGTCTAACGGATCCTCAAGGTGGTCATGGAAGTTATACTGAAGATTTGTAATCGCAAAGATCTCTTTGAGCAGTTTTCTATCATCGATACTGAGCTTGTCATATGAAGCTTGATCGATATGATTCTTATACACAAGAGTTCGGATCATTGATTGTAGACTATCACTGATTTGACATTTGGGTCCGCATTTTCGGCGATTGGGTTAAACAATCACAAGGGTTTTGTTATCAAGATCAGGAATTCTGATATACTTACTACCCAGCTGACGGTAGATGTATGCCGATGGAGTGGCCAAACCTTGAATCTCATTGAGGTTGTATGTTCTCCCGCGACGGACAACTCCTTCAAGCGGGGCGACGCCAGCACCTCTTAACCCACGACCCTGAAGATTCCTCTTAACCCCTGACCCCACTCGATCAACCATGTTATTCACAGTTTAACGACCCGTACGCTCGTCTTGTCGATCACTGAATTTATCAACCTCGGTGTAGTTTTTAGCATCGGAGTAGCTTTTAGCCTTGATTTGATAGACAGCCTTGGTCGCTTTCATGGCAGCGGTTGCCGCCTTCAACGCTGATCTTGCGGATTTTGAGTTATTACCCTTTACTGTTCGCTTCGCCTCATCGTATTTCCTCTGAGCTTCGCCATACTTTTGGAATGCGGCTTCTGACTCATCGTGGAGTTTTTGCAAAGTGTCATCGCGATATTGAGTACCCTCTGAGGATTTGATTCGAGCTGATGTATCTGTCGATTTTGTATTGTCGAGGATCGCTCGATTCAATAGCTGAAGATTAACTTTGAGATTTTTTTTTTCACTGCTGGATCATCATTCTCATAGACGTATCGCTCTATGTCTTCAAACCCGGTCATCAGGCTATTGAAAGTATCCATCCATCTAATGGTTTTCATAAGATCGTTGAAAACCTTGCCAGAAACCGATTTGTTTTCGTGGTTTCTAATGTAAAATGGTTTTGCTGCGGTAGGATCACTAAGCTTTCACACCACTTTTGGTATCTACTATTGGTTTCAGTCTAAAGGGAATTCGAACTCCTTCAGATGCTATTTTGCTGTAGTAGTCCATGAGAATCTTCTTCGCATCGTTATCAGCATTAGTTAGAGAACTATTCATATCTTCATCAATACCAATCTTAATTCCATGCCGAGCCTCACCATCGCGTGGCTCAAAGGCTTTTGCAAGTTTGGTGGTGTCTTCGTTAGTAAATATATCGATATCGCCACGATCTTTGACTAAATCAATAAATTCTTGGAATGTAGATCTCCAATCGACTTTTTTAGTAATCGCTGGCTTGACTCTTTCACTATCAATACCAAATACACTAATTGATGAACCATCAATCCACACGTATCCAGTTCTATCCACCTGAGATGTTTTACTCATGCTCTTGAGGATAGGAATGATTTTCTTTTTCAAACCAGCCGACTCAAGCACTGCTTTATTCTTGAAAATAGACCAAAGCAATCGATTCCTACTATCAACTTGATCTAATGAGATTGAAGTCGATGTGTCAAACTCGAAGCTGTCTTCAAGACGTTGTCTTGAACGGAATGCATCATCACCTTCACTTGAATCGGCGATTTTTCGTTTTCTCGTCAGTGAAACGTGATAAAGAGGGTCTTTAAGTCTCATATAACTGCTCTCATCGATTGATTTACTTTCGCCATCATACCAGATGTCCCTAATCTTCTCCTCTGTAGCCACCCAGTCAATCGATTGATAAGTCTTACTCTTTCTACCCGTTTTGGCTGCAATTAATGACCCCTTTACCAAGAAAGTATCTATTGTCATCCTTACCAGTTTTACGCTTAATTGGCTTAATTCGAAGCGCTACCCAATTAGGATTGGCGGTAAACAATTTCTTAATCCATGATCGCGCCTCCACTTGATCTTCGGTATCCATGTTTTTCATGTTTTTCATGTTTGTTTCAGCATCTAACATTTTTGGAGTATTGTCGATTCCAACATCAGCTGTTCGCTGTGTGTTATCGATACCAACATCAGATGTTTGAGGTCTCGCTTAAATATTTCTATCAGTTTGATTAACACGATCAGTATTAATTGAGCTATCTACCATCTGCACGCCGCTATCAACTCCAACATCGATCATTACAGGGCGAACATTTGGAGTTGAGCTGTCGCTCAGACGTGAGGCGAAGCCGTCAGTCTGTGACTCCACCTGGGGTGTTGAGACCTCAGGGTTTGTTTGGGAGTATCCATCAATCAGTGTTTTTTTTAATGACTCAGCAGACTCGGATGAGTCGGTCTGAGTTGATTCTGTTGATTTCTTTGGGACTGTAGTAACCCCATTCGTGATATCACTTGCCCATGACGTTCCTGCATACATCTGACGCTTAGTGTTGGATTGTCGAACGCGGCGCTGAGCTCTTTCAAGAAGCTCCTGCCGTTTTTGCTCTCTCTGAGCGAGCGATGTAAAAGAAGGAAACATTTTATTGCTATATCAAACGAATCATAAAAAAATGAGTAGTGTTAAATACCCTTACCACAAACTCGGCATAACTGAGTCATGTCTAAATGATTGATAATTATGACAGATACTATTCCTCTCGTTTAGGAGATTTAGATAGCGATCCTTAATGCAATGGAATGGAACTCCAAATATTGCTTCCAACTCATGTCGATACTTTCGATTTACTACTGTTTTACGAAAGTTTGCTGATGCATCGAGATTTATCAACTCATTCTTGACTCTACTCACCTCTTGAATGACCCACAGCTTTCGACGTAGCGTAGCAAGCTCACGTTGATTTTTTAAACAGTTGGGGCACATATTTATAATAAGGGTTTATATATATGTCAAGTCAGATATTTCAATAATCTAATTAAAAATAGTAAATATACTATAAATGAGTCAAAGCTTACAGAGGATTGCTCTAATATATTTTTTACACAAAGCTAATTATGACTCATTTGTGTTTTTTTTTGCCCAGTACTCTTTTTCTAGCATCGACTTCCGATTCTTATTTATCAATCGGAGATTATCTTGAGGTTCCCAGGAATCAGGCTCATTACCAAGCCATTTGATCAGATATTTGTACTTCCCAGACCGTGTCGTCTTATGATCCAAGATCTTCTCAGCCTCAAGAATATCGCCACGATTAATAACAGCATCTGTAGTCTCTGTGTGAACCATTTTAAGATCATTTGGCGCCTTGTAGAGGGTATGACCATTTCTTGAACGGATTTGGACTCGGTAGCCATCAATTCCAACGATTATATAGACTGCTTTGCTCCATCGGGCAGCTTCTTTATCAAATGTCTGCTTTTTGAGACGGTACAATACGCTTGATCCGACGTCAAACTCCTTCTCAATTCTATCGGCTACCACCTGATTATGACTTAGATCTGCATTCATTACTTTGCCTTTTGCCTCATTTGGAGTCATACCAATCGAACGGTGAAACGTGGTATTGTAGTTTTTAATAACATCAGTGATAAGCTTTTGCGTAATTCTCTTGGGGGACATTTTAGTTAGTCTCTGTTTCAACGTTCTGTTGAATCGTTCAATTTTTCCCATAGTTCCATGATCACCTGGCTCATTGTTGTAGTGCTCAATTGTCTTGGATTTAAAGAGCTCTTGGGCCTGTAAGTTCATAAACTCACTACCATTATCACTTGTTAGGATATCAACTTTGTGGAGACGAACAAACGCTTTAAGCGCTTCTAACACAATTGCTGCCGTCTTGTTTCGTAAGAGCTTTGCGTACCCCAGCCTTGAGTTGATGTTGATAGCAGTCAAAATTGGCCGTTTCTCCCAAAACGCAAGATCAATTTGCCACGAGTTGGGGTTATGCGAGGCTATTTTGAAACCATTGAATCTCTTCTTTTGCTCCTGAAATCGTTGAATATCGGGCTGACTCCCATACCAATCCTTTACTATTTTGAAAGTTATCTTAGGATTCAACTCCTTTGCCTTCTGATACAGAGCTTGAGCTCCTATATAGCCGGTTTTTGGGTCATAGTAGAGCTTCTTTAATAGCGCGTCCATGATCTATATTTA